GTCTAGACTGGCGCTTTTCTCCGGCTTATCTCCAAGCCGGAAAAAAGCGGCAGCCATGTTAATGCAAATACCGCGGGGGATATTTAAATCCCCCGCAGATTTGCCTATTCCAAAGTGCTACATTAGCATCCCTTTTCCGGAAGGGATGCCAGTGTAGACACAGCCCTATTGTTTGCTTCCACTATGAGATAAAAACCACTGCAGTAACAGGAAGAATTCTTGACTTTGCAATGTTAACAATAGAAGATTGTTAAATGCTGATGACTGTCAATTTAAATGGAACACACTTGGACATAGAAACCATCAAAACCCAGTTTTTAAATGAATTGTAAGAGGGGTGGTAAGGGATTTTGATCACCTGCTGAAGCTGATCAAAGAGTCACCTGTAAAGGGCTGGAGGTTATGAGAGAGACTTTCTCTCACTCACATTAATTTAAACCCTTGAGAAGTTACTCTGCTCAAGCCCAAAGTGCTCTCCTGAGTGGTGATGAAACTGAGTTAGGCAAATATCTATGTTTATTTTGTCTAAATATGTATATCCCTTGTACCTTAAGTAAAGAATCATTGTGTTTAGAATTCTGTGCAGTCTATCTGTTTGCCTGGCTTCACTTTTATGCATCCCTGAAGAACTGAATTGTCAACCCAGAGTGCCCGTACACTTGCAGTTTTAGAAAAAGGAGTGCTTAAGCTGAGGGAGAAGTGAATATATTTGTTAATTTTGTTAACAGATTTGACCTTTTGTTAATGATGTAATATAAATTGCAGTACTAGTGGTAAACTTCCTCTTCTTCCTCTAGCTGTTTCTTTTCCACACCAATGTATTTTTCTTTTTGTCACTTCTCTTTCATTCACTTTGATCTTATCATTTTAGTAAGAATCTCTCCCTCACATCTCCGCTCTTTTAGGATGCATCTACACAGCATCCTTACCTCGAAATAAGCTACACAATTTGCACTACGCAAATTGTGTAGTTTATTTTGAGGTTATTTCAAAATAGCTTATTTCAAAATTTGGTGCTGTTTACACAGTGCCAAATTTCAAAAGAAAGTGCTATTCCAGCAGGTTCCTTAGCCCTCATGGAGTGAGGGTTATAGGGATGCTGGAATAGCGTGCCCATTATTTTGAAATATATTTCAGAATAATGAGCGCATTCAAAGATGCAGAATTGCTATTTCAGGATACTTCTGGTATCGTGAAATAGCCCCTCTGTCCAGATGTAGCCTTATTGTCCTTGCTGTTTGCTTTTTTCTCTTAACCACCCTATTGTCATTATCTTTCAACCTATTCAGAGTGTGTCCTTCCTCCGAATGGAAAATCTCAAACATGAACATGGCATGTAATTCTAATAGCCTTTTGCCTATAGTCTTGATTAAGATTTAAACTTATTCCACTGGTTCAATGCAATTTGATGTTTGATTTACATGCGTTGCTGCTATCTCTCTACTCAGTTCAGATATAACTAGGGAATCAACAAAATTACTCCATTCTGAGGTTGAAGTTGAAAGACTCCTCTATTTCAAAACACATTTTCTTCTTAATCACAGAGCTAGAAACTTATTTTAAGAAAGAAAATCTTAGTTTATGTAGAAAATGAGTGTTCATGCCTCCACTTTTGCAGAGAAAACAAACAACGATTGAAGATTTTTTCAGTTTTCATCAGAAATGTTATGGAAATTATTTTCCAAAGTATTACATATCAGATTCAGGGAGGTGACAAAAGTACACTTTATTAATTTATTGTGTTAAGGAGATTTTTTTTGGCAAGTATCATGTGTGTACCAAATATGTTTCACAGGTACTTTCACTAGCATATTAGTATTAGTCTTTTAAAGAAAGTAAATAAAATGTTTAAAGTATTTACAGACAAAACATTGAAAGCAATTGCATATTCAAGCTGACAATGTAGTTATATTATTGTACCTGTATCTATTCTATAGTTTGAAGAGTTTGAAGAGTTTGTTTGTGGATTTGTTTGTACCAAATAAACTTTATTCCTATCCTTCATGATTTCCTATAGATATCAAATTTTGCATAAACAATGCTGGCACTTAAATTAACTGTCTGCACTACTTTTTATACCAGAATATGGTGGGTGAAAGGTTTAAATAATTATTTTTGTTTTCCATCAGAAAAAAGTCATGACTATTAATTATGATTAGAGTTCATAAAAAAAATTGCCAACAAAATTAAAATAAAGTTGCCTATTCAACTGTCATTTTAGTACAAAGAAAATGTTTAATGTTACAAATCACAAAATAATTCAAATTAGTTATGGAAAGATTAATGAAGCATCACAAATTTTTGATTCAAATTTACTATGTGTATGGTAAGTATTCAATAAAATGAGTAATGTTTGATTTTGAAATCCTACAAATTCAAAACTGTTCTTTTACTTCCCTTTTGCAAGCACATTAATAAATAATTCTAAATGTATTTAATTTCTTGAAATTTCCTATAAGCGTAATCTACGCAAAATGACTTTGCCTAGTCGACGGACCTCACCTGCTAGTATTACATCTATCACCTCACAACACTGCAGCATAAGTGCCTATAATTGTTCAGCATCTTCTGTACTCTACCCAAGATATAAATTACATGCTTCTCATGTATTGCTGCATTAATATGTTGAGATACTTATATTTTTCCTTAAAAAGTTAGATCCTTCTCCACTGAAATTAAGTTTTGCCATTGTCTTGAATGGGAGCAGAGTTGAACCTGAACTGAACAGCACCCTTGCTCACAATTAGAGAAAGATGGGGAACTGACTATCCCCTCAACCACAGGAATCTCTAACTGTATTTTTTTAGTCTATTTTACAGGTAGTCCAGTAAGTGATAAGAATTTTATAATTGTGAGTAGGAAGACTTCTATTTTTCCCATAACTACATAATATACGATCTATTCCACAAATGAGCATTTCAACAAAAAAGGCAGACAGGTTCTTTTCTGAAGCCATATGGATTTCTATGTTCTCAAATTTCAAACAAGGAAGAGCAGATTGATAAGAGAATAGTTGAATTCTTTATTCTTTGCTGAAGTGACAAACATAACTTCCCAATTTAGAAATGTCGAAAGAACAAGAGGAGAAGGTTCACAGAAGATGTTTATCAATTATCAAACTCATGTCAAATACTATGTGGTGCTATTTTTTTTAGATGCTTTAAGGCACCAAACTAATACCTGACATAACAGTGAGCTTCCACCAAACTAACCATTAATAGCCACGGATGCATTGGCTTGAATAATTAAGAAAGAACTAGTGTAAATTCTTTTAAAACCGATTCCTTCTTGCCCCCCTTTCATTTAGAATTACTTTGAGATGCATTCTATAATGCATATTAACAAAAGAGATGCATGAATCCATATTTTTTTAAAATAGAAAGTGGAGTGAGAATAGAAAAATGATGTGACTAGTACAACATTGCCAACCACAAATAATCAAATTCATGAAACAAACCACTAAAATAATAAGATTTTATAAATGATAATGTAATATATCATTACTTCCCACATTCATATCTGATGTTTGCTTATATTTGATCATTACTTCCCACATTCATATCTGATAAATGTTTGCTTATATTTAGTCCTATCTACAGAAAGAAGATCAAATTAAACTATGATCTGGATGAGCCTCAGCTGCAATTTCTTGTTCCCCAAAGTTGACAGAAATGGAGTACTATAAAGTCAGTATAATCACTCCTGGGGAGTGGGGGAAAGTGTCCCTCTCTTACTAAGTAGTGGCCTTTATGTCCAAGTAAGGGATAATATTGAAAGATTTAGAAGGCCAAGTCCAGTCCTCTCTGGCCAGGAGGATTTGACTGGAGCATGAAACCTTAAAGGCAGGTGGTAAAAATATATTGTCAAGATGGCATGTGGGTAGCTGGCCATTCTTCAGTGGTAAAATTAACACAAGTAAAAAACTCAAGCAATCAAATCAATTTTAAAAAAATCTTTTAAATAAGCTGTACTTCAGTATCCAAGTTGCTTTCTGAATACACAATAGTTTTGTTCTATACATCAATTGAATACAGAAGGTCAATAATAGTTAAGACCATGCTCCCTCCCAATGACAAGACTTTATTTAACTTAAGGGGCAAGAGCCAGACACATAGAGCTAGATTCTGCCTTGTCATTATGCACAAAAGGGCTAGGATGGAAGAAGTCTTCCTCAATCCCTTTTCATGGCCTTGCATAAGAAGCAGACAAAATTACTGTCCCTCCTCTTTGAGGAATTAAAGGATTAGTCTCTTAAATCCATCAGGAATACACAATCACCTAAAGGTGATGAATATTTTTGGGGAAGAGGCAGAGCTTTATCACTGTCTTCCACTTTGCCCCAGCCTACAGAGTAGGGCCACTCTCATAGTAAGCTATAGCCACAGGGTGTAAAAGTGGGAGTATTTCTGGGAAGTGCAGGAAAGACAGATACTGCTTCTCTTTGAGGTGTCATTTCTTTTTACTGATATGCTCTCTATTAGGAGCACTGATACTACATAAAATACTGGTATAACACTCTATCCCTGTCATAGGATAATTTTCCATAAGGTTCTCATTGGTTTTGTTAGGCAACAGAAAATCTTTATTTTCCAATCACTGGTTGGAAAACTGGACATTTTTCCTACAAGAAATTTTGAATGAAAATCTTTCAATTTTTGGTGAAACAAAAAAAGTCCGTTTGCACATGGGAAATTTTGAATTAATTTGATTAAAATGTTATGTATGGCTTTTTAAACCAAAAACTCAATGCAAATGAAAAAAAACTTTTCATAAGAAGCTATCAATTTAAGATAATTTTTAAAGAATTTTTCTGCAATTTTGTTTTTTGTTTTAATTGGTATTCTGATGACAAATTTGTTTCAACAAAACTGTATTTTTCAAAGGGAAATCTTTCAGCACAATAAATAAATAAAATACAAAATGGACAAGCTCTAATCAATAACATGTGACAATGTTCCATTCCACTGGCTTGCTCTTAATCCACACTCTCACATTTTGGATTGACTTCTGGGCCAAATTGTTTATTGATAGAGAAAAGAAAAAAAGACAATGGAAGACCTAATAGGAACCATTATTTTGGAGTACGTTTCTTCATCTTCCTATCAAAGTACTTGATAGCTGTGCCATTATTCCAGTCTGACCCGTGGATTCTGGGTAAAATCATTCACCTTGATTAGGCCATCAGGTCCAATTCTGCATAAAGAATGAAATATATATTAAATTCATTGAAACTTGTAACACAGAACGTAAAACGAATGATAAACTTCCCCTCTTCCAAGCAGTCTCAGCTCCCTGTGCTGTAGTTGAACTTCTCTTCCCTCTAAATTTGTGCTCTTTGGCCCCGCTTCAACTCTAGTTGAAGTCAAAGGAGACTTTAGTGAGAGCTGAATTGGACTCTTTGTCTCTTTGATCCATCTCCGATCATGAAATCTCCCATGGCATCTTATACACTTGGAACAAGATTTTAATTAATTTATACCAAGATGCCTCCCTTTTTCAAAGTACACCTAACAATCCACAAAGCATTTACTATAATGACCATTCAACATTCTGGGCATATTTGTTTTATTCTATTGAGCTATATTGCTGTGTAGTACTTTTAGGAACAGAGTTTCACTTGATATAATTTGTCAGAGCTTCTTTGAATTCAACAGAGCTATGCCAGTTTTTTTATCTCAGGATCTGCTCCTTTGAGCAAGAGTGGGTATTCAGCAGTCCTCAGGCTGGATGTGGTTCACCAGCAAGGTTAGTCCCTGGCAAGCCACCAGATGCTTTATTTATCTGCACTTCTGCCAGAACGGCTATTCACAGCTCCCACTGTGGGAAGCAGTAGCCTGAACTGGTGGCCTACCAGGGGCTAACCCTGGTGAACCATGTCCATCTTCTTGCCCTCCCCCCGCCTTAGAGAATAAGCAGTCTGGGACAGGGGCTTACTTCCTAGTGCTATATAAATAATAAGAAGTAATAATCCCTAGGACTCTACCACTTGAACTCTTTCCTTTCTTTGGATTGAAAGAATTTGACATCCACACAACATCCCACAACATCTTTCTTTGTCTCCTGTGAAGCAATTATCAGACCCAGGCCTGCTGATGGGGCGGGAGGTGAGGGGGGGCAGCGAAGGGGGCAACTGCCCTGGGGCCCGGTGATACAAAAGGGTCCAAAGCTCCTGGCTGCTGCTGCTGTTACTGAAGCGGCAGCTGAAACACCTGGTCCTTTAAATTGATGTCAGAGCACCATGTGGCTTGCTCCGGGTAGCACTGAGGGTTGCCTTAGGAAGGTATGACTCTCTTCCTGTGATGCAGAAGGTTGGCTATCCTAGCCCCGCCCCTTCCACTCAGGGTCCCAGCTCTTCCAGGGACGTGGAGCAGCTCCCCTGCCTTGCCCAGGGGCCTGACCAAGCTGTCTGCTTCACTGAGCACATTTTTTGGTTCTATTCAAGTCATAATAGTGATTCCTCTTCTTTCCTGTATCTTTAGTCCCCTATTTGGGTACGTCTAATCTACATGGCTCCATCAATGGAGCCATGTAGATTTGTTTGTTCGGCAAAGGGAAATGAAGCTGCGATTTAAATAATCACGGCTTCATTTAAATTTAAATGGCTGCCCTGCTCTGCCGATCAGCTGTTTGTCGGCAGATCGGGGCAGTCTGGACGCTCCCCTGCCGACATGAAAGCCCTTTATCGACCTCCCCGGTAAACCTCATTCTATGAGGCATAACGAGGAGGTCGATAAAGGGCTTTCAGGTCGGTGTGGGAGTGTCCAGACTAACGCGCTAAGCCGACAAACAGCTGATCAGCTGTTTGTCGGCTCAGTGCGGCAGCCATTTAAATTTAAATGAAGCCGCGATTATTTAAATCGCGGCTTCATTTCTCTTTGCCGATCAGCCTAATCTACATGGCTCTGTCGATGGAGCCATGTAATTTAGACACACCCTTATTGTTGGCCTTTTTCTTGATCCCCCTATAATTATTTTTCACACCCTCATTTTAACAATTCTTTCGCTATGACTTCTATTATTTTTACTTCTTCTTAGCCTAATTCTCTCTCTTTCTTCTGCTTCCCTTTCTACTGTTTCTCTTCCCAGTGTGTTTCTCCATCCTTTCTGCAGTTTTATAGTTACAGCTTGAACACATGCTGAGATGAAGGAAACTTTAACTGTTGACAATGGCAGAGATTTACTTACACCTCCTGTTCAATATAATTCAGCATTCGGCTGACATGGGATGCTGAAATTTCTCCATCTATTTCAGCAATGTAAGTGTAGAGAAACTGGAAAGTGCTAAAAGGAATACGTGGGGGTCCGCTGTCATAATCGCTGGATAAAACCTCACATATAATCTTCAGTGTTTTTGCAATAGTCTATTGGAAAAAGAGAATAAAATAAATAAGCCTCACCTTTGGCACTATCAGTGGAAAGACTAGAGGCCTACTTTTCTTGGAATGGAGAGATACATCCAGATAAAAAAAAAATCTGTCTAAAAAGCTATAAATAAAGGATAGTGATAGAAATGTAGCCGTGTTAGTCTGGTGTAGCTGAAACAAAATACAGGACTATGTAGCACTTTAAAGACTAACAAGATGGTTTATTAGATGATGAGCTTTCGTGGGCCAGAAGTGGGTCTGGCCCACGAAAGCTCATCATCTAATAAACCATCTTGTTAGTCTTTAAAGTGCTACATAGTCCTGTATTTTGTTTCATAAATAAAGGATTGAGTGATAAATGACAATGTAATGAATAAATGGAGAGGTCTGCTGGGATTTCCAGGAACTGAATTAAGGCTTTATTTTATTTAACATCTTTATTAATGATTGGGATATTTATTTTGCAGGTGACACTAATTCTGCTTTTAGGCCAAGCCTTGTGCGAGGACTCATTATTGAGCGGCTGCATTTTAGGAGTAGCCCCAAGAGGCATTGAGTCTTTCAGGTTCATTTCCTTCTTTTTTTTTTCTTCTTCTTCTTCTTACTCTGGCTGGGCAGCACTTTGCTTTTGACTTATACTAGCAACAAATGTCGACACTCTCTGTGCTGGCTGGTTCATAAGGGAATGGAGTTAAGGCTTTGCCTATCATGCCTCACATCAACCTGCCCTGGGAAAGAGGAAATGGACATCCTTCAACATAAGGTCTGGTTAACCTGTTAAAGAGGTGTATGGTTAACCTGTTAGGTGTACGAGGCTTTCATCTCCCTCTTACTCCTCTGTGTGGGAGCATTTTTACTATGCAAGTCAGAGTGTACTGCAAAAATGGAGGTATTACAAGAAAATCAATAATCCAGACTCAAGCAAAATTCACATTAAAGTCAACTAATATAAAGAGACCTGAAAAGTTATCAGTATGAGAAGGAAGTACTAAAATAAAATTCATCGTAGAAAAATGCAAACTAATATATTCTCTGGGGTCAGAACTCAACTTTCAATAGGAAAGACAAACTAGACAGAGCACGGTAATGACAAAGTGTTGACGATAAACAGCAAACCACATACAAGCTTACGGTGGGATATGGTGGTACAAACCAGTGTTTCTGAAAGTGTTCCACAGAATCATTCTCAGAAACACATTAACTGGTCATGCTGGTTTGTTTATTTACTGGCACTGGGAGCCCCGCAGCTCCCATTGGCTCCATTTCATCCTTTGCAGCCAAGGGGAGCTGCAGGAAGCGGTGGCCCGGCCCACGCCACTTCCCACGGCTTCCCTTGGCTGCAAAGGATGAAACAGAGCCAATGGGAGCTGTGAGGCACTCTGGCCGTGACGCTGGTAAATAAACAAACCGGGGTGGCCAGTTAATATGTTTCTGAGTGATTCCACGGAACACTTTCAGAAACACTGGTACAAACAACTCCACTGTGAATGTGGTTTTCATATGTAGAGAATACATGTCACAGACTATAAGAACAACAGTACTACTATGCAGTTTATGATTTAAGTGGGATTGCACTTGCAATACTGTCTGCAGCTCAGTGCCAGAAAGGGGTTGACAAATTGGAGGGAATTCAGATAATAGCAACAAAAATTGTATAGGGGCTTGAGGAATTAATTTATAAGAAAAGACTCAAAGAATAAATTAAGTGAAAGTTGGCTATGTTATGAGTAGTGAAATATATTCTAATGATTTGCTGTGGTGTCTATTGGGATCTCAACTCTGTTGAGTGGGCACTTTACAAACATAACAAAAGAATGGTCTCAGTTGCAAAAAGCTTACAGTGTAGGATGAGAGATGACAAACTGGTATAACAAATAAAAACTGTCTATAAGATCTGAAACATGTAAACAAGTAGTGCTAAGGATTGCTTAAGATGGTATATTATGGGGACCCGTAACCTTAATATGAGTGCTGTCATCAGTTAAAATGAAAAAGTTCTTTCCTTTAGGAAAATACAGGAAACAAATAGAGAAGGAAAGAACTGAGAACAATAGAAGCAGAGCTGCAAGCCACCAAATCCTACTAGAGAACAGGAAGACCAGCTCTTTACGCAACTATCTGAAGCCATGATTACACAGCTTTTTTCTTATCTTAAATCTGAGCGAGACATGCTGGAGGTCTCATGCCACCTGTACTAAACTATTCTTGGGTGACCATTTCCTAACTCAAAAATTGTTGCATGAGGATACAAAGGTGACTGGTTAGAAAGGATGTGGGGGGACATCGTCCATATGACTGTCTCCCACCTGACTCTTCCTTGCACCACTGGGGGAGGGGCGGGACAATACCACCTCTGCCCTGCCTATTCCCACCCCTACCCTGGCTTCTTCCCCACTCTGCTCTACCACTGTCCTACCTCTTCCTCCAAGCTGCCTCCCCCAAACAGTGTGGCTCAGGGGACTAGCAGAGGGCCTGTCACTGGCAGCAGTGGTCAGGCTCCCCTGCACTCACTGGCAGTGGCAGAGGGAAGTGGAGCAACATGGCTCTGCTCCCCCAGCTGCTGGCTCTGTTGCTCCACTTCCCACTGGTGAGTGCAGGGTGTTGGTCCTGCCCCTCCCCCGGGTGATGTGGCTAGCAGCTGAGGCAGCAGAGCTGTGTTGCTCTGCTTCCCCCCACACTGATGCTGGTGAGTGTATGGGGGACCTAATCCCTGCTGCAGGCACCAGGCCCCCACTAATCCCCTTTGCTGTCCAGAGGCTCTGACCCCTTACCCTTCTTGCCTATGGCACTGGGGGGTCACATGACCGCTTGGGCCCTCTCACATGTCACTAGTATATGTGTGTGTATAATCTAGATATAGATGATAAAATTAGATCTTCTCTTGACAGACATAACAATCAGAGGTTGCCAAGGTATAAGTGATCATGACTTGTCTATAACAACCATAAATTCCAAATCAATAATATATAATCTTGGGCTGTGTCTACATTGGTATAACATTGGTGTCTACACTGGCCGCAAGTATTTGCGCAAGAACACTGATGTTCTACTGTATGAAATCAGTGCTTCTTGTGCAAATACTCTGACACTCCAGCTCAGGAATAAGTCCTCTTGCGCAAGTGATCTTGCGCAAGAGGCCAGTGTAGACCGGTAACATCAATTTCTTGTGAAAGAAAGCCCGATGGCTAAAATGGCCATCGGAGCTTTCTTGTGCAAGAGAGTGTCTACACTGGCACGGATGCTTTTGCGCAAAAGCAAATCTTTTGCGCAAAGGCACAATCCAGTATAGACACTCTCTTGCGCAAAATCATGCCAGTCAAGACGCAGCCATAAACTGTGTGAGTGGGAGTTTAAGAAGAGAAGTTGTTCAGTGGAGAAATATTGTTTAGTTTTGGACTTTTGAGTTTTGTAACAAATTCTAGTGCCAACATGAGAACTGCAGGAAAGTGAATTAAAGTATTTGACCTTAGAATCTAGACAGTTAATGGAGACTGAGTTCTTACAGGGCATGGATAAGGGGAAAATAGAGTTTCAGAGTGGTGGTTGTGTTAATCTGTAAGGGTATGTCTACACTTGCACCGTAGTTCAAACTAGGGATGCAAATGCAGACATTCAAAATAGTCAGTGAAGCGGGGATTTAAATATCCCGTGTTTTATTAGCATGATCTCACTGGCGCGCTAGTTCGAATCACAGCTGATTCGAACCAGGAAGTGCATGCCCGGACGCGTAAGTTCGAACCAAACCCGTTGGTTCAAACTAACATTACTCCTCCAATTTTTTTTGGAGTAACATGGTAATGAAGCGCGGGATATTTAAATCCCCACTTCACTGACTATTTTGAATGCCTGCATTTGCATCCCTAGTTTGAACTACGGTGCAAGTGTAGACACACATAATGAAAAAACTTGAAAAACAAAGAATAGTCCCGCAGCGCCTCAGAGACTAACAAAAATGTAGATGGTATCATGAGCTTTTCCAGGTTCCAAATGCATATCAAAGAAAGAGAGGGGATGGGGAGGGAAAGGAAAGGAGGGGAAAAAAAGGAGGGAAAAAACCAGTCAATTAGTGTCCAGGGTAAATGAAGCTGAAGTACCTGGTGTTTGGTGTTTTATGTCATTAGGATGTGGAATGTAGTGGGTAATCCAGTTAAGGTCTTTGTTTAAACCTCTATTATAGGTATCAAACTTGTAAATTAAATTAAGTTCTGCAGATTCCCTTTCAAGATGGTGAAATAGAGATGGAGGACCGAAGAGGCAACCCTATTAATGAGGGAGTGCTCAGGGGGCAGTAAATGGCTACAATAGTTAACTGATAAAACTTCTTTATAGAATAAAGCCTTTTGCTGAATATGGAAGTATACAAATCACTGAGCCTGATATCCAAAATAGAGTAGGGTTTCTAAGTGTGGCCTAATTCTGATCTCATTAAAGTCAATACAATCCTACCTGTAGTACTCACTGCTGCTAACAGTAGTGTTCACTAAGACTGTGTGAGCAGGTTAGGGATCATTAATCTTATATAATCATGCTGTCTCCTACAAATAGATAAAGGCCCACAATGTTTTGAACTTTGAGCTGCTGATAATTTTAATAGTATAGATAATTTGTCAGTTAGCACATTAGCACTATACATTGCACAGAAGGTTGCAAGACTCTTGAATCCCACAAGATGGCGCCAGCTGATTGTATAATGACAAGTCCTAGGCTTATTTGAAGACTGGCACAGGGTCCTTCATTATTTGTTTAAAATAAGTGAATGCACATTTATTTTATTTAACTGGTTTAATGGAAACACCACTGGCATCTCATGGATAACTCTTTATTTAGAGACAGTTTTGTCAATTATAAATGTTCCTCACTAGTTAGAGCACTGGAATGTCCCAATGAAAAGAGAGACTTTATTGTCTAGGACTTCATTGACTCCTACCATTTGCTCATCTGAGGTCAACATTTTCTGTGGCATCAAAATTATCTGCACAAAACCTAAGTCTGATGTCACAATTAAAATATTACAACTTTGAGGAATAAACTGAAGAAACATAGGAATGCTAAAAACACATATCCTATTTTCATACAAAAGTGCATAACATAACAAAGAGAGGAGAAGTGAAATACAGAAAATATAATTTCTAAAGATAATTATCTCTAAATGGAATGATTTTCAAGATTTGCCATGAGGCAAATGTTGCTAGTGATACTGACAATGATCATATTGAACATAAGCACCACTGATGTATAACTTGTCAAGGTTTCAGGCAACTCACAATAAGCACTATTTTAAATTTAAAATGTGCGAATCTGCTCCTAAAACAAAGTCAGGGACCATTATGATCACTTAGTCTGACATGCTAAATACAAGCCATAGACAATAGATGGCTTCTGCTTCATGTCTATAACTATTTAAACTATAGCATATCTTTTAAGAAACATATCTAATCTTGACTTAAAGATTGCATGTGATGGAAAATCCATCATGTGCATAAGTATATTGTTCAGAGGTTTACTACCCTCACTGTTAAAATGAAGCTTGCCTAAGAGAATACATTCTCTTCTTCTGCAATAGATTAGATAACATTTGAACATGCATCCACTTGCCCATGAGCATGACATGTTCCAATGGTCTATTAAGCCATTGCAGGGATATTGAAAATATAAATACCTGTGAATAAAAATGTACAAGTATTTATGCCTGTTTCAAATTATAAAAATCTAAAAGGGCATCTTAGTCTCCAAGTGCCCCTGACATTTTCCTAAAATGTACATCATAACATGCAGCAGGAAAACCCACCATAAAGATCAAGACTTCCTCCTCCAAGTCCACTCTGAAATGCATACACAGACAGTGCTAATGATAAAGCTAATGTACTTGCAGTGAAATACCCCACTTAATAAACAGGTTGCCTCATTCAGCACCAGTTTAATTTAAATGCATCCAAATACTGTCCTATGTAGAGCATGCTACATTAATCAAATCTAATATTGGGGTAATAAAATCATTAGTCATGGTAGTGGGATAAAATCATTAGTCATGGTAGTGAGTTCTGGCCAGTCACAGATGAAAGAAAACTACCCTGGCTGCTGTTGATACCTAATTATCCAGTTATATCTGGGAATCTAGCTAGACTTCCTAGTTTTGAACTTGAGCGAAAAATGATGGGCAAATGCTTTGAGTCACAGGGGCAGATATAAATGTCACCATATCTTCCAGTTTATTCCACACTCACCAACATCACTTTTTTTATTGGGATTGAGCCTCAGCCCTTTCACTCACATGCCTGCTCCAATCTCAGCTTTCAACTGCACCATAAAGATGAGGAAATCAGCATTTTGAAGGTCCCACAACCAATGGCTTCCTGATAACCTTATTAATGCCCCATATACAATTTAAACCAGTGTTTCTGGTTTAAACCAGAAACCAGTGTTTCTTAAACTCTGGTCTCAATAACTTTCCCCGGACCCTTTTTTCCTTCAATTTTTTTTCTTCTTTCTCAAGGGGATGGAGAGCTCAGTGGTTTGAGCATTGGTCTGCTAAACCAAGGGTTGTGAGTTCAATCCTTGAGGAGGCCATTTGGGGCAAAAATTCATTGGGGTAGTACTTGGTCCTGCTGGGTAGGCAGGGGACTGGACTCAATGACCTTTCAAGGTCCCTTCCAGTTTTAGAAGATAGGCAATCAACATTAATTTTTTTTAACAAAAAAATCCTTTGTGTTCCTCATGGAAAAAAATTGTCTGGTGTTCTGCAGTCTTAAAAAGTTTAAGAAACACTGATTTAAACAGTGTAGGAACAAAACTGAGCCTTCTGGTATCCCATCTGAGAGCACCCTCAGGGAAGATGAGTGAGTGCCTGTCACTATGCCATGGAAATCTCACTATGAAAAAAGAAAAACCCTGTCTATTCTCCCTGAGGTGAGTCAATAACACCTTGTGAACCACAGTACAGAAGACAGCTGATAGGTCTAATGATCCTAGTATAGTTAAGTGATTTTTATCCATTGATTGAGAAAATTGTTAGTCCTTCACTTTCCTTGCTGAAGAAAGTGAGTTTCCAAGCTAACAAGAGTCAAATAAATTTGAAACAACTAGATATTATCACAGCTGTTTCCACAATATTTTGAATAGTCTTAATCACAAGTGGAAAATTAGATACAAAATGGTAGCCAGCTAGATTGTCAAAATTTAATTATGGCTTCCTGAGGTCACAAGAGAACATGACCACTTGTCCTCCTTAAAATAGGGATTGCTAATCTGCATCAACATTTGACCTAATATCTCCCCTCTGGCCTTCACCAGATAGAAAAGATATTGAACTAGAACACAGGATGTGGTACCAAGTTCCTCCCAACACTTCTAGAATCTTAGTCACACCAGTGGGTGCAATTTATGTGGAGTGACAAGATGATGTTCTGCCTCCATGGAAGCAGAGAATTTGGTATAAATGTGCATGACTTTTCTCCTAAAAGAATTATACAATTCCTCACACTGGGAGGAATTTTAGACTCAAAGTTCAGAGAGCCAGAATTAACGAGGTTATTCATCACCCAAAGCAAATCTATTGACTGAAATACTGTGCATGCTATGGTGGAGAAAATATCTTTTTGCCTCCCTCCTACTTATGGCATACATGTCTAGAAAAATCTTTGATACAATCAGATAAAGTTTATAACTCTGCCACTCTCATCTAGCTGTCTTCCCCTATTGTTGCAAACCATTTGAAACCAGTG